CGAGTAGTAAGATTTTGAGCTACATTCTGGCCATTGCGAAATTCAAAGCCCCATGATAGCTGAAGAGGCAGTCGGCCAAGAAAGCGATACGAAATAAGGTGTGGATCATTTATTTTCAGTAGTATCTTGGCTGGTGCTCGTAACGAGGTACGATTTACCAAGAAACATTTCCTTCCAACGGTCATAGCCTGTACAACGCGGTCAGTTTTCGCTACCTGGGAAGAAGCATATTTGTGTAAATGAGGTTGTGAACAGGAGTGTGTATTCCTCGTAAACGCAGTCTGTTTTATTTCGACAAACGTTACTTCCATTTCCCGCGGAGGGCTATGAGCTATAGACCAATAAAACGACTTGTCCAATTGTGTCGCTTTTCTTCATCTGAATGTGCGTCTACTCAATTCGTTACATCGTTCCTCAAATGTGCATCGGTGACGTTTGCAGCTGCATTGTGTGCGTCATGTGACACGTTGCAAGTGTGCACTCGTATGAGCGATAGTCATGGGCTGCGTTCGTGACTGTGATCACGTGATCGCGTTGTTACCGCCGTCACTGGTACGGTGACTAACTTAGTGGTGGCGTTAAGTAACTCAGGCACGTCAAGTTGTGTGGAACGTATAGTTAATGCAAAAGTAAGCTCTGCTCCGAATGTCAGAAAAAGGCAGCCGTACGCGGCACGGCGGAGCTAAAGAATATACTATCCGAGTTGTGACGTGGGACGCGACTATACCATTATACACGAATGTTAGCGCATTGTACCTAGCTTTTAGCTTGGCACGTTTTCGAAATCGCTTACAGTGCTTTCAAGTTTGCGAGGGTAAGAACGCTGTTTTGGCGTTGTTGACACTCTCATTGGTCATGGGACGTTACCCAATGGGATACCGGTTGGAAGCCCACAGCATAAGCGACAGACCATTCAATGAAAGTGGTCCAGCATCATCTTCTGTTCTACTTTAATACCTATCTGAAGGAAACCTCGCTAAGTTGAAAGCACTGCACGCGATTTCGAAAATGTGCCACGCTAAAAGCTTGGTACAATGCGCTAACATGCGTGTAAAATTGTGGAGAAGTATGTTGCCCACATCATGAACGTAAGCCGGATTACCTGTCGCAGTTGGAGAGATGGTAGCAAGGCAATCACGTGATCTCAACTTGTGAACGTGGTCCATATGGCCCATACGAGTACGCACGCGCCCGCGACATAGCTTCAAGCGTCACCAATGCGAACATTTGGGGAAACAATGAAACGAATTGAGGAAAGGTATAGCTGGCACACGTCCTAAAAGAAATGGACATCGTTCCACATGAACTTATCGAAATGCTTCATTCGACAACTGTTTCTGGGCTACATAAGTAATGCTATCAAATCCTGTGTCACTTGCACCAGTGTTGTGTAGTCAGCAGCAGATGGTTAATACACGTCCGGGCCTGCGTTAATTGCAGATAGCCCTAACAGCTGTGTGTTTACCAGTGTTCTCTTTTCATTGTCCTGTCTTTGTCATTATCATCACATTTGTAATCATAACGGTAAACTCTGCTACGGCGATAATGACAGTTTAGTGTAAAAGACTAATTGGCACATGTGTTTTTTGGTTATACATTTAAAATTCGCGATAGGTGAATGCTTGTTTTAACTTCGTTTATACGCTAGAAACAACTATGTGATGGTTAGGTTGATATAATGTAGCATTCGAGGAAGTGTTTATAACGCACTGTGGTAAGTTGAGAAACTAAGACTGCCGGTCATCGGATACCCCTTCACCGGCTGACCGCTCACACAGCAGCTACACGTGCATCTGAGGTGAATAAGCTCAACTCCGCGGGATAGATAGCTCATGAGTGGAACTGTCCGGACGCGAGCACCTAGTGCGCAAGCCTGTCGTGGTTAGTCGAACGCAGAAGGTTTGACGCACACGAATATTGCGTCTTTTGGTACCCCTTGGATTTTTGAGCGACGCTCATCTCGACTTTTCTTCCTGATATCATACAAAACCATACGGTTTAAAAATGCTTTTCATATTGCCAGGCCATCCTCTACCCTTGTTATTGTACCAACGAAAAAGATTGTGCTCGAACTCGCGCGGACTTTGCTGCCTCGGATTCGCAGTTAAGGCGTTACTTCGCTGGCCGAACAGCAGCTTAGCCGCAGAAGTTTCACCACTAATCGGGGTGGCATATTCAGTGCGTAGTGGCAAATTGCTTGTTATCCTTAACTGAGCTTCAGGCTCCGGATTTGTCAAAGTTCAGTTATTGCTAAAAAGCTATTTGCCACTACACACTGAGGACGCCACCCTGATTGCTGTTGGCATCTGGAGCCCGAGTGTTGAGGTCGGAGAGCAAAGTAACGCTTACATCTCAAGCAGAATGCCCATTTGTTACGTCAAGTTCTGTAAGTAAAAAACACGCAACAAGGCGAACAATTGTTTCGATTAATTCTACTTCAGGTCCAGAAAATAACATACACTAGGGTAAGGTCTGTTGCAATAGTCAGCATAACAAAGAACCAATTGATCAGAAAATTTTAACGTGTGACCATGATGACAGTCATCTGATCACGTGACTGTAGTCAGTGGAGTTGTGGAGTACCATCATTTCCTTCCCGTCTGGTGGTCGGTCATGGAAGTTGTAATGTTTGTATCTTCTCTGGATACACAAGTCAACGGAATTCGAGATATGAATAGCCAAGAGTATCGGATGTTTTCCTTTGCCGTTGTTTCATTGTTTACCAACGTGCCTCTGACAGAAACAGTTAACTACCTGTGCTCGTACGTTGACCAGCATGATATAAACAACGGTATGTGAACCAACCAACTGAAACAACTAATACTCAGACGTACGTAAAACGTTCAATTTCAATTCATTCGCGCGTTTTATATACAGGTTGATTGCGTTGCAATGGGATCTCCGCTTGGTCCATTGTAAGCGGATATTTATATGAGAATGCTAGGAAGCGCTCCATTAAAACGGGTCATATCGGGTCTGAAATTCTATCGGCGTTATGTGGATGACATATTGGTATAAGTGATCGGACCACCAAACTCCAGGATATACTCGACTGTTTCAATAATGCGTACCCCAATGCCACATTTACAGCTGCGGAAGAAAACAACAACCAAATGAATTTGTGGACGCAAGTCTTATCAGAAGAAGCGATGGAACAATCCAAATAAAAGTATACAGGAAACCATATTGAACGGGAAAATACATGAACTTTCAAAGTTTCGCCCCACTCAGCCAAAAAAGAATGCAGTTGCGAACACTAACCGATCGGGCATAAAAAGGCTGCAGCGAAGACACCATTAAAGCCCAACTCGTACGAATGAAAGAAACGCTTCTCGAAAATGGATTTCCGGAGCGATTTATCGAGACCCATATGTTGCGATGCATACTAAAAGTAGTAAAACATATTTAAAAAGAAACAGGTTTATCTCACTCTTCCATTCAAAGGAAATATAACCGAAGAGACATGCACGCGTCGATTACAGCAAAGCTTCAAAAAGAACTTTAATGCGCCTCAGCTGAAGGTGGTTTTTACCAGCAGACCTCTGTGGGCCCTACTCTACAGTTCCTGCGAGACTTGATATTGGTGTGTACTGAGAATGTGCGATTTGAGTTTGAAGGGACGGCATACATACAGATTGACGGCGTCGCTATGGGCAGTCCTTTGGGACCAGTTCTGGCAGACATTTTCCTAGGGATGATTGAAAGGAAGGTTCCTGCCTCCATAGGTGAAGCCAAGCTTTACAAACGTTATGTAGATGATATTCTCGTCTTCACTAATGGTGCACATTTTGATCGCCTCGCTGCCCTCCTGAACTCAATTCACCCGAACCTTTCTGTATCACAGGAGAAGGAACAAGAAGAGAGACTGCCGTTTCTTGATGTGCTCATCAAGAGAAGGACCGATGGCACAGTGCAGCGCACGGTGTACAGAAAAGCGACCTGGGGGGACAATACCTACATTTTTCCAGCTTCGCCCCCGTTGCATACAAGCGCGGTATTGTAAAAACGCTCTTCTACAGGGCCAGGCGAATATGCAGTCCAGAATTGCTCAAGGCTGAAGAAGAGTTTTTATACCGGACTTTGCTAGCTAATGGGTATCCGGATAAATTCATTCAGACCCATAGCAGACCCCCCAAGGATAAGCTGCCCGTACAAACTGCGGAGAAAAAGAATGTTTATCTGTTCTTACCCTTCACGGGGGATCACTTAGCAAATGAAATTGGTCGCAAGCCCAGGTCCGCTCTAACGCGCACCTACTCTACCGCCCTACTACGACTTATTCACACTACGCGAAAGGTTCCTCTCCACATCCGTTCGAGCAGCGCGCCAATCATTTCAGCCTCTAACATCATCTACCAGTTCACTTGCAGTTGCTGTGACACTTACATAGGCAAGACTGGTTGCCGGCTGGCTCAAAGGGTGGCGGAACACTTCCCATTGTGGCTAAGACAGTTGCTGTCTAACCAAGGCGGAGTGAAACAAAGAATGAATTGGAACCTTGCCTCGTCTATTTCCAAACACCTCATGCTGACTCGTCACCAGGTGAACCCAATCGATTCATTCAAGGTGCTATTGCGCAACAGGAACCCGAGGTTGGTAGCAATTGGCGACACGCTACTGATAAGGTTGAAGTGTCCCGTGCTCTGGGCCCAGAAATAACTGAGACAATCAATTAGATTGCCTTGATCCTGATTACGTCATTCCCATCATTTTTATCTGCTTATCTATGTTACTAAGTGTGGAACCTATATATTGCGTGTTTTTCTGCCTGTATTGCGTAGCGCATGACGAGAGCAATCGAAATGTTATCAAATCGCAACCTCTGTTTTGTTACTGCGTTAAATTTTCTGTTCAGTTGCGTTTTTGTTATGCTGACTATTGCAACAGTCCTTACCCTAATATATATTCTTGTATGAGCCTGACAAATAATTAATCGAAAGCAACTGTTTGCTTAAAGTTTCTTGTTCTGTTTATCTTTCTGAAGTTTAGGTAACACTTACATCCGTGTGGTCTTTTGTGGGGAGGGGAAGATTGATATAGGCATGAGCAATGTGCTAGCTGAAAACTGCCGAAGTGCGTTGCAATAGCATATTGCAAGTAACTTGTACTTGACTACTTCGTATCAGTCTTTACTTTTGAGCTTTGTTTTCATTTTTGGCTTGACTGTCTGTGACGCCGAACACAGCATAGCTGAACGGATTCGATAAGTTATCCTAATCTTCCGTCGGTTCATATTCATCTTTTGATCAGATGCGAAAATGTGACCTGTTAATTAGGCATACCTTGAAATTGTTCATTCCCTTTAAGTTTCGGAACTTACTTCTTGAAATATTATCTTTAATGCTATGTACTTTGAACTGAATCCTATAGATTCGGTGATTATAACAGTGTAAAGGAAGGATGCTTTGCGAAATTAATGTGAGTGTTTAAGGGAACAAAGCCGCTCTGAGTAGCTGGGTTTGACCTGTTAAGAGCGCGCAACTAAGGTACATTAAGGGCTCTTTAGGACACACGATGAATCCGATGAGAAAGTTGCACGGTATACTGTCAAGTAAGCGTTTTCCAGGATGTCCATTCCTTCAGGCGTATACAATTTCCCATGCCTTTACTATAGGAATATTCCGATTCCGACAGTTCTTTACTCGTTGGGTTCACGGCATACTTCCACTGACCATACTATCCGGGTAAATTTTTCCATCTTGTCTCAGCACTTCGTATACGATTGAGGCCAACTTGTCCGATTTCTTTGTTGCATTTGCGGCAGTTTTCTGCTTGGTACGAAAATGTGCTGAGAATGTGTCCTAAGGCTGAGTCTGGGGCGACCTAAGTCATGGCTATTTTTCAGGCAGCAACTTCAGTTCACTTTAATGCACCCTGTGTCACATTAACGCCATTGGAATTCCAACAGCTCAAGACTTTGGTCTGCTTATACAAAGTCCTGATGCCCTCGCGTAGGTCGCAGTTGTCTGTCTCCCATTGAATCGTATGACTATACTATCCTTCTATATAGGCACGCACTCCAGACCATAAGGTAAGCGCTGCACCACAAGTAGGAAATTAAACTGAATTCCAGATATTCTAAACAGCATTATTTTGTATTGATGTCACAACGGATTGAGTACAAATGCCTACTTTGTGGTACTCCTTTTTTATCACAAATTGCCAATAGGTAACTGGAAATAATTGTCCAGATCCCAGAAGTATAAACGCAGATTTTAGTGACTGCTCTGACCATTACTGGTAATGAGACAAACGACTTCAAAAGAAGTTACTTAGGTTACATAAGTCCATACGGAAGTGATACATTCCGTCTGCCATCTCTGCCAGCAATGACATACTTCAGGCAAAAAACCCAATGCTTGGCAAATCACGTAGAATGCCCAGAAAGAGAACCACAACTGGGTGCATAGAAAAAGGCTAAAATGAAAATCGTTACGGTGCACTCACCACAGTGTTACCATAGGGACATGGAGAAAAAACCAACCTCACTCGTAAAGGTTAATTACGGTTGTGCGACTTTCGTCGTATTATCTCGTCTGCTAAGCACACAGGCTAGATCTCGTAAGTTAGTGGGTTAGGGAAACAGCATGACGTTATTTGAACACAGATAAAGTGGAGGCGGATATGACGTACTTTGGGAGGACGCTCCATGACTGACATACACAAAGAGAGCAAAACTTCCATTGATATTCTAGCCGACTGTATTGTGTGGCAAACTTGTACTGGTGGCCGCTCAAATTCGTGTTGTGGCTCAGTTGTAGTAGTTGGCGGCAGACGTAGTTTGGGTTCTTTAGAATCTGGTAGGCCATAATAAGGTCACCAACTAGGTGCTGGTACCGGCCGCTGTATAATTTTGGGGTTTTCAGTCTAAGTTGGTAATGAAGATCGAACAAGCAATTGACTTGCTTCGTGACTCGTCGCTGTGGAGTCTCGAGCGCTGCAAAGTCTTGCTTCTGCCAGGGCTGCCAGGCCTGGAATTTGTATTTCACATGCGGCGTTAAGCAACCGCTAACAGACCGAGGGATCAAACCGCAAAATACCTACGGCAGCATGCCAAATTGTTGGTTTCCGGTCTTTGACACCTTCTCAGAATGTTCTGCTCAGCCCAGATCAGCATGGACTAATACGCCAAGGTCGCGTTCCTGGGTGACTGCTTGCAGGACATGTTCTCCAAGCTTGTAGGTGGAATTCCGCTGGTGCCGAATGTGATTTACTTTACACATGTCAGAATTGGACTGGAGCAGATTGTAGAGTGACTACCCGCACTTTCTGTCTAAGTGTCGCTGAAGTGCATCGTTCTCTGCTGGGTCGATGATCGTCCACCACATCTTAACCTCGTCAGCGAACAGCAAGAAATCTGAGGCAATCAAACGCGTAGGCTTATTTATGAACAGGAGAAACAGACGCGGCCCCAGGACTGATCCTTGTAGGACTCCACATTCGACGTAAATCGGATAGGGCAGTTCATTGCAAACTCTGACCTGCAGTTGTTAATCCTGCAGGAAATTCCTGATCCATCCAAGTACAGGATCACCCACTCCATCGCTTTCGAGCCTATGAAGCAAATTGCAGTGGTCTATTCGGTCGAAGTCGTTAGAGAAATCGACGTAAATGACGTCTGTCCCCCTGCTTTTATCAGCCTCTTCCGTCCAATTATTGCGTGCAAGCAGCATGTTAGTAGTGCATGAACAGTGCTGGTGAAAACCGTGTAGCTCGGGTGTTATGATGGTTTTGCGTTCGGAATGGTCTACTGAACCTTCAGTGATGATTGCCTGCATAACCTTTGAGAGCAGAAAGGAAACGGTGTGAGTTGTTTGCATATTGCTCATATATATATATTCAAAATGTTATGTACTTGTGCTTTCAAAGCCCAGATGGTCAATGCGTCTGTCTCGTTACCGGAATGGCGCCTTTGATCCAGTCACAAAATTTATGTGGTATATGAAAATGAAGAGATTATATTTATTGATGATGACTAGATGACCGAGTTCAGGTGAAGCATAGCTGCGGCCAATGAGTGTTAGGGATCTGTATTCACTCGACATCTTCCATCGTTTCAAGTGGACAGTAACTTCAGCAGACTTGCGGAATCCTCTTCCCTCCAAGTAAAGTCTTCCTCACGTTAGACTACACGAGGAAGTTTTGGGGAAATGGAGACACCATCATGTGGCGACCACCAATCGCCTAAACTCATCTTCTTTGAATTTACTCATCACCATTCACTGCGCAGTGTCGTACATACACTTGTCTTAAAATGAATTATTGCATCCTGCGAACACAATCATTTGGGTATCCTGCTTATGCAACCTGCTTCTATCAGCGGTTTTAATTGTTAAAATGTGCTCTGTCGATACGTAATGGCATACTTTTGCATTATTCCAGCTTCTGATCTCGTGTTTCCACCTCGCTCTATAGAATATTTCACCGTCTTTCGGAGTTGCTCTCATAGGTTCATTAACGTATGGGACAGCTGCCTGGCAAATTGTGTTTCACGCAGTGAATTCCGCTTATTCGTTCCGTCTGTGCTTCCCGCCGCTCTCCTTTAAGTGCAGGCGATGGACACAGCCCTGTCTTACAAGGATCCGCTTGTGAAATCCAGCTCAGTGTATAGGGCCACCGCATCTGACGGACGTTTCGACTATTCATCTCACTGCCGCGACAAATGCACGCAGGCACTGTCAGTCAAAGTTGGTTATTCGCAGTGTATTGTTTTAACTGGCAAAGTGGGACACAAAGGTTCCTTAACGAAGTCATTAACAACTTCGAGTCGGCTCAGAGACATTTATAGCTCTGCAGTGTGGCAAGCTTGTTAAAGTTAAACGGCATATTGACATTGTTCCAGCTATTGATCTCGGAAACGTACCGGACTTGCACAAACTGAGCGACGACCGCACAACAGTTAACCAGGCCCATTTTGTATCTTCGCCGTTCCACTGGCATCATCTGTTTTGAAACTATCACGAAAGTACGACAGTACATGAGCTGCAACTGAAGTTGGAGCAAATGTGGAAATTACATCGTTAGAGATAATAATCACAAGTCTTGTACCTCATATATCGACGTCACTCCCTGGTATGAAAGTGTGTTAGTACCGTTAAGAACTTCAAATCAATCAGTTTCTGCAACTAATAACACCATATCCATCTCTCCCTTTCAACTAGAAAGCGTATTAACCCAAGTAACATCTATAACGCCTACAGTACCGAGCAGGCTGTTGCGCCTACGTAAAACTGGCTACGCAACTAGTCGAAAAACAACATCAGCTTCCTCAACGATTGCGAACGTGGTAACATATTGGAGCAATGTAAGCATTGCAAGAACATCATCCACTACATATGCACATGCATCAACGCCACCAACACGCAGACCTTCAGTACCAGTGCAGACAAGACCAATATACTGTGCACCGACGTTCCTGCGTCCAAGGCGAGATCCTTAAAAAGCAGACAGTTAGACTATGTGGATGAATAGCACACCGTTTGTGTGCAGCCTGAAGTTCATACTAGACTCACTTGAATATTGCTCATTACTAGGTATACAAACCCGGTGAATTGTGGTGATCCTCGTAACATCCGGATAACACTGGGGTCAGTGGAAGAAATTGAAATGGTTCTACGGTCGGCCTATCGCCTCCGAAATGGACCATTGTGTTACACGTCTCCCCATCAAATGCATAGGGCAAACGCCAGTGGGATAAAATGAACCGGACCGCCACCACACGAGTGGCCGCCAAGAAGCCATTTTAATCCATGGCATATTCAAACTGTCAACGGATGGCAATGACGAATACCACACGCACAATCTGAAAGAGTGTAGGTAAATTTACGGAACGCATTCCATCCATGACAATTTAGTCCGCTGGATATCTGGATTACCCATCGCAATGAGGCTGGACCTTACCGTGGTGCGATGGTTTGTGTGCCTCAGCGATCCATTGAGCTATGCTGGGTGGTGCGTTTGCACCTTCAGAGTCACTCATACCAGATTGGTCAATGGTTAGAAGCCAAACAAACCCAGCCTCCTGGTCCTCCAGGTTGGAAGTTG